GGAGCTTAGCCAATTCCCAATAAAAGAGGAAAGCCAAAACTGCAGGCCTTTCTTCTGATAGTTCTTGGATATTCTGACATTTTCCTTCTTTCTCTGTTGTGTTGACTCCAGAAATAACTTACAGTGGTAGAAAACATTGTACTGTACCACTAAAATTAGGGCTTAGCTATATTCATGAGACTGTTACAGCCTATGGAGGAGGGTTCTGGATAGTGAAGAAGTCTCCTTTCTGATAAGGATATGGAAAAAAGGGAAGCAGAAGAGAAATATTTATGCATGTTCTCATCCTGTGCACCCCAGACTGAGTGACCTGTTCTGAGGCAGCAGGGGGCACTGTGGTCCTGCCCAGCAAGATACCAGCTACCGGCTCTCTCTAGGTGGTCCTGCTTTGTACCTGGGACAAACCGGCTGCTGAACCTCACCCCTGGGAAGTTGAGGTTAGTTCTAATCAGCCCCAATCACAGATGACACAGAATTCAAGGGGTGGAAGACTTTCAGGAAGAGGGCCACAATTTTCATAGGAGGCCCTTCAGTCCCCTTCAGTGGGGAAAGAAGCACAAGAGACCTTGCATAGCTCTGATGCAGCTGTGGGTCCTAAGGAATCAGAGCTCTGTGGGAACCTCCACTATGGCCTGGACTCTGCTCCTCCTTAACCTTGTCACTCTCTGCTCAGGTGATTGGCCATGCGAAGGGAAAGCTTTGGGTTTACTTTCCCTTTTATGTAAGGCACATGGTATGGGAAATAAGCCAGGCTCATTTCTCTACCATCTTTATTCCAGAGTCCTGGGCACAGTCTGGGCTAAGTCACGAAGCTTCATTGTCACAGTCTGGGACAGAAGGTTACCTTCTCTTGTACTGGAAGCAGCAGTTATAGTGTAGGATGGTGCCACCAAATTCCTGGTACTGGCCCCAAAACTGTGATGCTTGGAACTTCTTGGCCTTCAGGGATCTCTGATTGCTTCTCTGGCTCCAAGGCAGGAAACACAGCCTTCCTGAGCATCTCAAGCCTCCACCCTGAGGATGAAGCTGATTATTACTGCTTAACATGGGACTCTAGTCAAAAAGCTCTCACAGTGCTCCAGCCTCATGGGGAACTGAGACATAAACCTTCCTCCGCCCCCCAGCTAGGGTGATCACCCATGACTGTGTGTGACAACCCAAGTAGGTGACTGTGGCAGCCCAACAGTGCTCATGTCTGGACTAAAAGCAGAGATCAGGTTTATACGTCCAGCAATAGTTAATCCCTCTCATGTTCATTATTTTTAACAGCTTCATTATGCTACCTTGTACCTACTATTATTATATCCTCTCAATGTATAAAATACAGTGTGTTTTCTTATTTGTGGAACTGTGGATCCATCACATAATATAAATTTATCATTTTCAGCATCCTATAAATGAATAATTTTTACTATAAAAGCTTTATCATAGTATAGCTTCTGTAACTGGTATTGTGTTCATAACTAACATTGTTGGCTGCATAAATAAGAGATTGATGCATTCAAATGATTAATTTTTTTTACATATAACACAGTGATATAATCTTGTGATATTAGTTCTTTATTCATTTTCTCTTTTATCTGGGGAACATGATGTGGGAAATAAGTCAGGCTCACCTCTTTACTTCTGTTCCAGAGTCCTGAGAACAGTCTTGGATAAGCACAGAAGCCTCTCTGCTCCAGCCTGTGGAACCCTGAAATAAAATACTAAATAATATGCCTTAGTATGTACGGATAAACTACAGCTTGGTTTTCCATTCATCAGCTGCTGATGTTTGGGTTGTTAAATCCTTTTTAGGATTTCTGAGTAATTCAGCTACACAGATTGGTCTGCAAACTTCAAGTTTTTCTGTGAATATAATTTCAGCTCTTTTGGGTGAATACATAGGAAAGGAACTTCTGGGTCATATAGTAACACCTTGAGGAAATGCTTCAGTGATTGTCAAAGTTGCTGTAGCAGTTCACATTTGCATCAGCAATGCATGAGAGTTCCTATTTCTCCACATTTTCACTAAAATTTGTTTATATCTGTCAGTTGTCTATCAGCACACTAGGCATTTCTCAAAAGAAGTACAAATGGCCAATAAGTACATGAAAATATATTCCACATCTTTAGCCATTAGGGAAATGCAAATAAAAATAACTCAGATTCATCTTACTCTAGGTGAAATGGTTATAATTAGAAGACAAAGCAAAATAAATACTGGCAAGGATATGGGGAGGATTCTTTCTACATTGTTGGTGGGGATGTAAACTAACAGAATCACTAAGAAAACTAGTATGGAGGTTTGTCAAAAGACTGAAAATAAAAATACCATTTGAATCAGCTACATCTCTCATGGATATATATATTCCTAGAACTATTAAAGACATCATTCTATAATGGTATACACATACCATGTTTATAGCTGCACAATTCACAACAACTAAGCTCTACAAATAGTCCAGATGTCCATCAAAAGATGAATGGATAAAAAAACTGGTACATATACATAATAAAATAAACTGATATGTGCTATAATACATTATAAACTGTTTCAGTCTTAACAAAGAATGAAATATCATTTGCATAAAAATGCAAAGAACTCAAGGCCATTATGCTAAGCAAAATCAGCCAGACTCAGAAATTTAGATGTACAATGTCCATTCACAGATAAATGGATAAAGAAAATGTGGTATTTATACAGAGAAAATTGCTATTGCACCACAATGAAGAATAAACATGGGCCATGTATAGCAAAACAGAACAATCTTAAGAACATCTGATTCAGTAAACTAAGTCAGACACACAGGTTTAAAACGTATACATTAATATTATAATTATTCTTGTATGGGAGAAGCCCAATGGTTAAAGAAAAAGCAATGTAAAAAATGGGTAATTAGAAATGAGGAGATACATTTGTAACAAGGAAGGGGACCGATAGATGGAAGGGCTTATGAGGCATATGAAGAAGGAATTAAGATACGATAGATACTTATATCACTTCTTCATGGTGAATGTAGTCATTATGTACTGCACATACTAAAACAATTAAAAGTTCTTCATTCAGTGCATCTAAATTTTGTTATTTAATCTTTCCTAAAAAACATATGCTACCATTTGTTTCTCTGAAATTCTCATGCTTGTGTAAGGACATCTGGATAAACTGCTAAATCTCTTCTCACTTATCTCCAATTATACTTATATGCTTTGAAATGCTTGTTTAACTGAATTATTTGGGTCCCAGCTAACACATTTTCCAAATATATTCCTAAAAGTAGTTTTCCATAATTATAAGAGGACCTTTTGTGGCCTAGAATGTTACTATATTCCCTTCTTATTTCTTTGTTATCTAGTTCCATCTGTTTCCACTGGTAATTCTGACCTCTGCCTGTCTCCTCCCTAACCCATATTGTTTCCTTCTGCCAATTGCTGCAGGGGCCCCTGACATGTGACATTGTTTTCTGGTCCAATTAAGGATGACTTTGCAAGCTTGGGTGCTCATTTTGAGCATGGACAGAGGTACAGGACTCTGAAACTAAGGATCAGCTGTGAATTAGCTGACAGGAATTCATGGCCTTACTGAGCCCCTTCCACAAGAGGGGAAATTATTGCATCTTGAAATGTCCACCACTAAGAATATACTTAATTGGCCTCTTCAACTTCAGAAAGCTCAGAGTCTGCAACTGTGAACACTGTTCCACCAGGTTACTAGGTAACACAGAGTTTACTAAGTTTAACAGGCTCATAGGAGGCAAATTCTCTAAAGCTGTGATGTACACAGTTCTTCCAAGGGAGCCATATGATCAAACACACACACACACACACACACACACACACACACACACACACATACACATACACACACACAATATTTCCCAAGCCTTCAAAGAAAATCAGTGTAATCATGTATTATGCTGAAGAAACAGAAAAATATGAGGTATGCATGAAAAATATACTCAATGTTTAAATTTTTTATTACATTAAATGACATGTTGCCATTACTCTCACACAAAATACTCTCTTTTGCTTCAAATACTTCTCTGTCATCCTTGCCACCTTCTCCAGTAGTTTTGTAAGTCTATTTTCATGTTTATGGTTTGGATGTTATGGCTGCCTCAATGTCCTGAATCAATTAAAACACTCACCTTTATGACCATTTTGACCAGAAATCACATGGTGCCAGATCTACTGAAGAGGTGGATTAAGGAGGCAACTTCATGTTCTTCTGGGCCTGCATTTTGGCTGCAATCAGCATATTTTTATCAAACCTTGTTAACAGTAATCAAAGAAGATTTTCAAAAGGGGCAAGAATGATGGGATAAATGTGCATCAGGCTAAGACAAATATTTTCAGGGGGATAAAGTGCGTCTTTTACTGCATTAAGTTTTTAAACATTCCCCAGGTATTTCAATAACACCCCATAAACAGCATTCAGAAGTAAATTCTCAAATACTACTAGCTCCAGTAGAATGAACATGTGCTAATGTGGCAACAATTTTGCTAAGTGGCTCCTTGTTAGATGAATTTCCAAGAAACCTAAATTCAGAATCAAAAGGAATCCACCGTCTCAGTTCCTGTACTCAAGGTATCTGATAGCTATGAACAGGAGCAAAGCAGCAAATTACTCAGGTCTCCACTGCCCAAAATGTCTCCATCCAGCTTCCTCCTGGAAACACAGGCACTGAACCTGATGTACGGGGAAAACTAAAACCTCCTGATATAAGGAAAAGGGGTCATAAGTAGGAAAAGGCCTGCAGCAATGAATAATTTCACCCCTGGTATTTTCAATGATGATGCTAGAGGGCGCTGTGAGCTTCCTCTTTGGACATCAGGTAACAACTCTGAGAAGCTTTGTAGGCTGTAGGTTCCATTACCATATACTCGCTGTGGATTAACTCGGTGTGACCTTAGGGAGTTGCTGAACAGCTAGGCAGGGCAACCTTATTTGCATGAAACCCTGCCCACTGCCCCCAGCAGGGTATGAAGAGTTATAATGAGAGCTGCAGGGCTGTTTGTGTGCCAAGCAGTCTTGAAGAGCGCAGTCCTGGGCTGTCCGCACCATGGCCTGGGCTCCTCTCCTGCTCACACTTCTGGCTCACATCACAGGTCGGCAGGGATTTTCTGGCTGGGGCTGTGCAAGGCAGCGGTGTTGCCTCTGTCTCCTCCCCTGACCATCACTTTCCTCTCTTCTTTTCAGGGGCTGAATCACAGGCTGTGGTGACTCAGGAACCTCCACTGTCCACATCTCCTGGAGGGACGGTCACGCTCACCTGTGGCTCCAGTACTGGAGCCGTCACGACCAGTAACTACGCTAGCTGGGTCCAACAGAAACCCTACCAAACACCCCAGGGACTAATATATAGCACCAGCAACAGGAACCCCGGTGTCCCTGCCCGCTTCTCAGGCTCCTTGCTTGGAGACAAGGCTGCCCTCACCATCACAGGGGCCAAGGCTGAAGACGAGGCCACCTATTACTGTGCCCTGTGGTACAGCAACCATTTCCACAGTGACACATGCAGATGGGGAACTGAGACAAAAACTCCCTTGTGCACATCACCCTGTGCTCCTCAGCACCTCCTTGTGGACAAACACAAGACTCGGAGTCATGTGTGGTGTCTGAGAGAGATGGGAATCTCTGGAGCCTTAGAAGGGGACCATGTGAGGCAACCACTGCAAGAGCCCCAGTGAGCTCCACCTTCATCAGTGTGTGTCCTTCAGTGACCCTCTCCTGAGTGAAGGCTGTACTGAATGATCGGTACAGTAAAGGTGAAGATGTAGGACCTGGTTAAGGATAAGATGTGACATCAGACACGACAGTAGCTCCACTTGGTCTGTGCTTCGACCAGTTGAAGAGCAAAGTCTCTTCAAGCTAGAGACTGTTCAGAGCCAGTAGCACAGGCCACCACCCAGAGGGGGAGGAGAGGACTCCCAGGGGGAGGAGAGAGAAGTGTTTATGCGTCTAAGACATGTCGCTCAGCAATGCAGCCAGAAATCTGAGTGTCAGAGAGCTAGGAAAGGTGGTAAGCATTTGGAGTTTCCTAGTCCCAAGATTTTTTTTATGTTTTATTAATAAATGTGAAGTGCCCTTTCATGGCAAAGCAGGCAGGCTCTAAATAGCTAAAACTATGCTTTTAGTCTCCATTTAAAGAAATTGGATGTCCAACCTCTGATTCAGACTCTGTCAGGTTTGACTTCATGGTTCCAACCTGTTGTGAGGAAGAAAAAAGCAAGGGGCCCAATAAGCAGAGGTAAATTTTAACACTTGTATGTAAATGTCTTCTAACAATAGCTTGATTAACTGATTGGAAATCACTACTGAGATTAGAGTATAAAGGTTATGGCTTGCCTTGATTGTTTTCTTTCGGATTGCCTGCCCTGGAAAATGACACACAGTGAGGCAGCAAGCTAAAGCTGCCAAAAACCAATGTGACTGAGATCAGAAGTGGATCCTCCCACTCCAGCCAGGCCTTCAGGTTATGCAGGCTCTGAGGACAGGTTGCCTCCAACTAAATCAATTTCTTGAGCTTAAGCCATTCAGCACCATTTAGTTCCTTGATTTCCAACTCATGGAAACTATGAGATACTAAGTGCTTAAGTCTCTAAATTTGGAATCCATTTGTTCCAGATTGATAGACTAAAGATTGGTTAAGATCTACAAAGTCACCCTGATCTTGGAGTAGGAGACTGAGACACTTCCTGTGCTTATGGAGCACCTCCTCAAGAACACTCCGGGGCCTTGCGTAGGGTATATCAAAGGAGTGGTTTGGTGCATTAATATTATCCATTAGTTGCTGTGGACTGATCAAGCCTGCAGTCTCCCAAAAGACTATATGGTGGAGGTGTAAGCAAAAGAGTCAAGTGGTTTGATTTTAGGGATCTAGGAGATCCAAAACCCTCTAACAGAGGGTTCTATTCTCCGGGAGCTATGACAAAGAACTTCTCTGACCAGCCGGTATGTATTAGGTTTTCAAACAAAGAAGGGGGATACTGAAGACAATGGGGGAATCTGAGGGGATCTGGGAGAAGGTCCAGAGATGTCCCCAGGTAGTAAAGTATTCTTATTAGAAGATTATCTCATCTCCAAGTTGACATTTGTTGTAGAAGTGTGGAGCCTGAAGCTGCAGTCTCCTTTTAGTTAACTGAGGTTGGAGTCAGACACCCTCAGCTGTGGCCTTATCTTGTCCTTTGAGGTGTCAAGGTTTCATAAGCCACTGCAGGCATCAGCCAGGACCAGTGGCTCGCAGAGGTTCACTTACTGCCATGTGTGGACAAGGGGCCTAGGCCTTGGGCAGGCTTACAAGTAATCATGGAAAGCCAATTAGCTAATTTTAAATCCTGCTCATAGCTGCTTCATACTTGTCTCCATCAGTGGCTCATGATCATGCTCATATTTCTCATGTATATGATGATATTTTCTGGGTTTTTCAGCTCAAAAGAATAACAGGCATTCACATTTTTTACACAGCAATGGTTTTGAGCAAAAGCTTATCCTATAGAGGAGTAGCTGACATAACTGGTATAAAGGTAGAAAAAAATGAGATTTGTGAATGATTCTGGACTCCTTATCCCCAGCCTATAAGAGAGGGTTCCTGAAGCCCTTGAAGTGCATGCAGAATATTCAGTAAAATAAGATGAAGACTTAAAATAAATATCTACTCCTCAAAAATATGCTTGATTTGGTATTACCTGTAGGTTCTACATCTGCAGATTCAAATACTGTGGACCAAATATTTTTCTGCAAATTTTTATTTGTATTAACTAAATCATGTTAATTTAAATTAATGTACTTAGAGCCAGGCTTGGTGGCATGGACCTGTACTCCCAGCATTTGAGGAGCTGAGGCAAGAGGATCACTGCGAGTTTGACGCCAGCCTGGGCAGCCTGGGATACATAGTACGAACCTGCCTCAAACCAAAAAACTCAGTGGATTTCATTTGCAACTATAAAAAAGCAATGGATTTCATATGCAACTATGTAGAAAACTGATTATCACAACTATATACTAACTTTGGAGCATAAGACTATGTATAGTATTACAAATGAATTTTAAAATATTATAATGCTAATGTAGTTTCTTAGGTGAATTTCATTAGCCTTTCCTTTTAAATCCTACAATACTATTTACATAGCAAAAATAATTTACATGACTAGAAACAGCACTAAGTTTTACATCATGTTCATTTCCCCAACAAGTAATGGGACCAATTTTATCATTCTAAATTGAAAAATACATATAATGCAGAATATATAAATAGGAAATATTCACTGAAGAAATATTTTCCATCGGCCATAAAACAGTTTATTTCAGCTGCATGGAGCTATGCAGTCTTTTTTCTTGTCAGGATTGCCTCAATAGTGTGATATAACAACTATTTGTACATCAATTCATTTTATTAGTATAAATAATCTAGTGGTAAATTAAAGCATAGAGGAAGACGTGCATAGTTCATGTACAAATACTGTAGCATATTATGTAAAGGACTACAGCATCTGCACATTTGGGGTGCATGGGTTCAGTCTTTCACTTTATAGAGATTCTAGGGATATACACTAGTATTCTGGTTTGAACTTGAAATTTAAATTAGTCGGTATTTTCCTCTTCCCCCAAGCAAACCGAGCACTTCAGAAAACTATTTTTGGCACTTAATTTTTTTTTTTATTTTTCTCTTTACTGCTATGTATTTGCAGTATACACAATCACTATTGAAATCAGTGCAGAAATTCTTCAAAAAGTTAAAAATAGAAATGGCATTCCATCCATAAATTCTCCTTTTGGGGATCTTCCCATATGTGTTAAAACATCATATTCCAGTGACCTATGCAACCCATGTTTATAGCAGCGCAAATCATGATAGCTGAAACTTGGAGGGAGCCTACATGTCTGGCAGCAGATAAATGGATAGAGAAAATGTGGTACTTACATGCAGTAAAGTACCATTCTGCCCCAAAGAAGGATAAACATGGGCCATGTGTAGGAAAAAGGATGAATCTTGAGATCACATGGTTCAGTAAAATAAGTCAGACACAAAGGCTTAAATATTCCATAGTTTCTCTTATGGGAGTAACCCAAACCATAAACAGCAGTTAAAGCATAGGTCACTGGAAATGGGGAGATATATATTTGCAAAAAGGAAGGGGAACAAGAGATGGAGGGCAGTAAGGGGTACAAGAAAGAAGAGTTAAGATGTGTTCAATATTTATACCACCTCCCTACAATGAATGTAATCATTATATACTGCAAACACATGCTACAACAATTAAAAATACTCTATTCAATGCATCTAAACTTTATTTAATTTTCCTAAACAACATATGCTACACTCTATTTTCCTGAAAACTCCTTTTTCTTCTTCTTTTCCTCCCCCCGCTCCTCCTCCTCCTTCTTCTTTTGAGAAGGGTCCTAATTAGGTAGCCTAGGCTGGCCTCAAACTCACAGTGATCCTCCAACTTCAACCTCCTGAATCTGGGGAATACAAGCATCCACCAGCATACCCAGTGAAATACTCATTTTTATACAAGGACATCTAGATAAATTAGTAAATCTCTTCTCACTTTTCTCCAGTTATATTTTATGTTTTGAGATGCTTATTTAACTGAATTATTTGGTTTCCAGCTACTATATGTTCAAAATATGTTCTAAAAATTAATTTCCTTAATTGTAAGAGGACCTTTTGTGACCTAATTTTTTTTTTTTTTGTAACAGAAATTGAACTTGGGACCTTGTGCTTGCCAGGCAAGTGCTTATGTCACTGAGCTATATCCCCAGCCTGTAATTTAGAATTTTAATACATTTCCTTGTCATTTTTTAAATCTACTTACCGTCTATCTCCACTGGTAATTCTAACACTGACAAATCTGTACCTGATAACATTTTATTCTGCCAGGGGCCCTGTGTGCCCTAAGATGTGCCACTGTTTTCTCTGTCCAATTAGGGCTCTCTTTAGAGACTTGGAGCTCCATGACCAGTGCTCATTTGGGGAACGGATGGTAAAAGGTACACGACTCCTGAAACTGAAGAACAACAGTGAATTAGCTGACAGGACTTTAGGGTCTTGTTGAGTCCAGACAGAAGCCTCTGACAATCATTACCTCATTAACACAAATACAGAAGTTAAAAAACCTCAAGGAGATGGAGGGCTCAGCCCATTCTCTGACTTCTCCAATTCCATGGGAACAAAACCATGTAACAGTCTGACACAAACCCTCCTTTGGAAGGGAGGATGGACTCACAGAACTTTGCTGGGAGCTATCATTTCCTGATACCATTCTTTCCTGCATCCCGCCTCTCCCAAGCCTCTCCTTGCACTCAGGGAAAGCAGCCTTGTTAAGATCTTCCTCTATGAGTCTATATATCATTATCACACCCAGCTCTCTCCTTCACCTACATGATTGTCCTTCTTCCAGCTGTCGGAAGTTGGATGCTGATGGGTACCTGCTGATGCGCCCTCCGGAAATTGCTCTATGATGAAAAAATCTGACCTCTCCATAATGACACCCTTTACCTTTGAGGACACAAAGTTTTGCTTGTTACATGAGTACAACACACATTTTGCCAAAATTTGCAAATTTGAGGGAACTTCTCATCAAGTCTCCATTAATCCACACAGGATAAGCTGAAATCTTTATCATGACTGCACCACACCTCACTGTCTCCCTCTTGGACATCCTCTGGCCTCTCTTTTTCATAG